CAAAGGCTCTCTAGGGGCCGGTTGGGGAATCGGAGGTGGAGATTTTCCACTCCCACCCAGACCACCCTTCGCTCCCCCTTCTCCCAGCAGATCTCCCCCGGGCCTGTGGGTAGCTAGAGTTCTGGAAAAGGTGCCTTAAAAGGAGACATCCCCCCAAATAAGAATCCTTTGTTAAATGTGGGTCACATGCCATTCCCTCTTTATGGTGCTCTAGAAAGCAGAAGGCAGACTATTGGTAGTAGAAACCAGGGCATTCTGGTAGAGCTGTGCCACTGGTTGGAAAAAGCAAGGAGCAAAAACCAGACAAGAGAAGGAGAGGTGGTCCTTCTTTTGACTGTTAAATRACCTCTTTTTGACATTCAATACTCAAAATGCAGGCATCTGCAGAAAACATGGTTCCTGTGCCCAGGCACGTGCCCTTCCTCAGAGCCTTCCCTACTAGGCAGTCTCCTTCCTCCCTCAGCTGACCCTTGCCCTCTTTTAAGTCTAGGTCATGCAAGCCACCCCTAACTCCTTTTACAACCAAAGGATCCTATGTAAACCCTGCCAGAGCAATTTTCAATCAGGATGTAATTCTCTGCCGACTTCTCAGCCTCCCACTCTAGACAGTGAACAGCTTGGTGTCTGGGACTGTCATTTGTCTCTATCTTTAGTTAGCACAGAGCCTGCACAATGGTAATACTGCTAGGTAACTGCTAAAGCATCTTTGTTACTTATGATAAAGCAAAGAAATAAATAGTCTGTGTTGGCTTCAATGGAGACCATGTGTCATGTTAGCGAGTTGTTTTAGTTTTATTTTAAGTTTTCTAGGAGGCAACCGAGTCTTGTCTCTGTCCAACTTTTTAAATTGCGGGTTCTGGAGAGAGTAGGAGCTAATGATTTGAGGTTGACTCACCTTTGAGCATGAAAAAYGGTAGTGGTTGGCTAGATAGTAATTTGTAGACTGGATAGCCATTTGAGATAACAGGAAACTGCCTGGAGTCAATGAATATTCTTCCAAAAGAAGTATAGGTTTAGTCATTGTTCACTTACATTTTTATTCAGAGTTACACTGTAATGATGACTGGAATTTTTGTCTCATTCTAGTGTATTCATTTCCCCTTTGTTCCCAAATACCCMTTGTTGCCCTTTCTCAGGTAGTATCATATTAAATACAGCGTTTTCCACATTTCTATTTTTTCTGTAATTGTTTATTAATTGCTCATCTTCATTATTTTTATGTACCACACCACTGGTGTCCAATAAGTTCACTCCAATACCTATCAGCATCTAACACTTAGTAGGTAGGTACTCAAGACATAGTGAAAGTAGCAACATTTGTACTAATTGAGAGTCAGCTGAATCGTCAAAGAGGTGTCAAGTTGGGTTTGTGCACATCTTCATACATCTCTGAATTTCTCAGAAGTCTTATGATTTCATATCACTTTTAAGTTAAATGTTGCATAGTATCACATTTTATAGTTTTGAGTACTGTAATGGAAAAGTGGAGGCCAAAAAATATTGAGTTGAAATACAGAGAAAGAAAGACAAAAATGGCCTGTTTGACATGGTAATGAGAACTGAGCTCAGGGAGGGCCAGCGTTTTCAGAGTAGCTTGTGATTTTCTAACTTCCCTCAGTGCTGTCTTAGCCTAACATAAGTTAACTAATTCATGGTGACCAGATATACTCATTTTTGGCCAAATTGCTCTGTCTACAAAATTATATTAATGTAGAAGTTAACTTTTGGTTCTCTTATTTTCAGTTAAATTGTATGCTCTAGATGGGAGAGGGGACATTTATAATGTGTGCTGAGGCAGCTGGRCAATCCTGTATTACTATCCTAGGAATACCAAGGGGTAGTTATTTTTAGCTTTCACCTGAGCAAACATGACTCAGTTTGTTGACCTGAATCCATCCAGCCCCTTCTTAAGTACACAAACTCTATTAATCCCTAGAACCACACTAGTGACTAAGTAAGGCCTTCATTACAAATAGCTCTCAGTTGATTGAGGCTTGTTCAAAGGTTGCAGTAATTTCAACTTCCTGCATTTCTTTCCTTTTTCTTACAATGAAATCACTTAAAAAAATTTTAAGGCCAGATCAAACTTCTTTTGATATTGGACACAGTTTTATGGTTGGTGTGTTCACAGTTTTAGCTACAAACTAATGAAAACATCTTCTATTGGTAGGCCACCAGCTATGAAACRTAAGCTTTGAGTTTTGTTTACTTGAAATGCTTTCTACATAAAGAAATACCTGGGAATTCACTTTTAGTTGCAGAAGGAAGTTGAATTGAAAAGATATTATTGGAGGAACACTAATTGTCCATGTTTGAATTATGATGCCTGTTTACTTGCTCAAACAATACGTGCATTTTTTTCTTTTCAGCACTACTAGAAAAATTGAAAATGTTGAATTATCTTCAGATTTTTAAGTCATGCAAAAAGTAAAGACTTTTTTTTTAACTAGGAAAAAAAAYTGGACTGGAGGACTAATTTATTCAAGTGAAGAAAAATATTTGTCATTCTCTCAGTCTGGCTTATGATGCACTTGAGGCTTCTCCAAGTTCATTGCCATGATCTCTATGAAAATATTAGTGTTCCTAGGATTTTTTTCTTTATGGCAAAAACACCAGAYTAGTGAAAGAATGAAAATAATGCAGGCTGCCACACAGGCAGCGTTCACTGAGGCCATTAAAAATGCAGCCTCTGTGCGGGTCAAGTGTTCAGCTTCTCTGTTGTTCAGTTTGGAATGTGGTTTTGGAGCTTAACTGAGGAACCCGGGTAGTTATTTTTCATTTTAGTCTGAGGAGTGAGAGACTTGTTTTTCAAAGTGGGGGGAGAAAGAACTGAAAAAATGTTCATTTTGGTAGAATAGAAATTAAAATGTAGTAACTATTTTCTGCAAGACAGTCAGTTTGAGTATGTTCACCAAAAATAGAATTCATGAATTCATGACTTTTGTCTCACTGTTTATTTTTCCAACCACATTAAAAAGGGTCCAGTAAAATGTGCCATTTGGTCTTTCTAATGTCAGGGGTTATTTAGCTGAGTCAGGATAACCAAAGTTTGATTGACTCATGTTTCGACTGATGAGAAGATGATGGATTTTAGGTGATTAGATGTAAAAACATCCTCATGGTATTGAGTTTTGAAGAAAAACTTCCCCAGCATGAGTTAGTGTGGACTCCCTGTTGCATGGTCAACCTGCTGTATTAATGGATTTTCCGCTGTATTTTGGTAGTGATGAGTTTTTCTATTAAGTTTTAATTATCTTTAGCCCAACTTTCTGCACATATAACATTTTACTACTCAGAATTTAACTTTAGGATAGATATTTTGGGATAGAAATATATGGATTTGAGCATTAGAAGTAGAGCAGAATATTGATAAGACGCACTTTTGCCTCTTAATAAGATTGTCCTTTTGTTTTATGTAGTCCTAGTTACTGTCTCTTATTCTATTAAATAAGAGATAATTTCTGCTGAGAAAAGATCTGCAAACATAAGTGTGACAAATATCAGAGGCACAGAATTAAGTACATTTAAACCACACACATAAGCCATGTTTTTTTATGTTTTTCTTCCACTATCACATTTCAGGGAAAATTTATGGATATATTTTTAAATTATGCTGTACTATCAGGACTCACATGAAGAAAACTATGAAATATTTTCAAGGAAATCCAAAACCAGATTCCAGATAATGGAGAAGCAAGTATTGTTTGGATGGGAAGACCAAATGTTGGTTGAGGGTTGGGGTCATAGTGCAGTGGTAGAGTGCTTACTTAGCATGTGTGAGGGTTAGATTCTCAGCACCTCCTATAAATAAATAAAAATAAAGATTCACTGACCACTAAAAATTTWAAAAAAGAAAATAATGGGAGAGGATACTGATTCTTCCCACATCAATTTATAAATTGAATACAAAAATATATAAATTTGAAATGAGTTGGCRAGACTAGTTACTCTAGCAAATATTGATTCTAATCATAACCATCAATCCTATAAGATTCAAAATGATATTGAGATAGCCCACAAATTGGTAGTCTAATATATGGGAAAAAARCAGACCTCACACCATGCCTTATGTCAAAGCAAATTCCATAAAATTCAACTGCTTAAATATTTAAAAATAAATTATAAAAAGCAACTAGAAGTCAATACAGTTGGCTGTTTATTGCATTTAGAAGTTAATCTCTGAATACAAAAACATGAACAAAATTATAAAGGGAAAGAGAGATTCTTTGTAAAATGTGGAACTTTTATGTATTGAAGTATGCCATGAACAAATTTAGATAGCAGATAGAAAAGTTAGAAGAAATTATAATTATTCTTATTTATAGATAGCTTTTACAAATGGATAAAGGAATAGTTAGGGTAAAATAGTGGTTGACTATTTTACAACCAATAATTAAAATTTTTTAATTATATGAAAAAATGTTTACAATATGGCTGGGGCCGAGTGCTTGCCACACCACATACAAATAAAATAAAAGCATTCTGTCCATCTACAACTATAAAAACTTTTTAAAAAATTATAATAGCTAATATCAATTTTATGCTCTTTGTGTGTTTTTCCCTTTAAAATTAAACAGGACAAATTTATACAGACAGGTTAGTAATTCTTATGTGAATAGTGGTGGCATAGCTAGAAATGGTACAGCATGGAATTGACACCAGATTGCTAACACACCTGATGTTATTTATCATATGCTACCTTGGATATTGGTGACATTGGTTTGGAGTGAGGAGGTGACTGTATTAGATTGCTTACAAATGTAGGCTTTAAATGCCAGTGATTGAAAACATAGTGGGGGCTGTTGGGGATGCTTTTATGCCCTTCTGGAGGTAGATGAAGGAACCTCACCTGGATTTGGGAGATTTCCAGGAATTACTGATCTCAGGTTGTAGAAGTCTGTACAAAACCCAGAGAGAAGACAGAAGTGGAAAGAACATTAACTAGAAATGGTCTCTTCAATATATTTGTCTTCTAAAACAGAAAACCATTGTCTTTTCAGCTCCAGGGCCCACCACAGCGGTGTCTTACATGTCAGTGAAATGTGTGGACGTCCGTAAGAACCATCACAAGACAAAATGGCTAATGCCTTGGGGACCCAATCAGTGTGATAAGATCCGAGACATCGAAGAAGCAATTCCAAGGGAAATTGAAGCCAATGATATTGTGTTTTCTGTCCACATTCCCCTCCCCTCCATGGAGATGAGTCCTTGGTTCCAATTCATGCTGTTTATCCTACAACTGGACATCGCCTTCAAGCTGAACAACCAGATCAGTAAGTGCACTCTCCTCCAGCCCTTTGGGAATTCCCCTCATAACGGTAACACGATGATGATGATGATGATGATGATGATGATGATTATAGCAGCATCTGGTAATCATTGTCTGCTAATTGCTTCGAGGCCCTTTCTGAGCACTTTACCTATATTAATGCACTGAATTTCCCCATTGAGTCCTTGAGATAGGTCCTATTATTATCTCATTTAGGCACTGGGGAGGTTGCCCAATATCAAAAGATCACAAAATGAAAGATCTAGGGTCCTAACTCAGAAAGCTGTCCTAACTTGCAGCTTCCTCACCTCTCTGGTGCCAGGAAAGAACTCACCCACACAGAGTGACTGGAGGGCTTTGGAAAGGTCCTTTGTTTTTAAGTGGAATTTTCCCACAGGGCTTTGAGTAAAGCCATGGCCTTAGAAAAAGATCACTATCAAAGTGGGGAAGCCAATCCATGAGCCTCATTTCCCACTAAAACAGCTTATCTTTTTAGTTCTGTTGCATTTCAAGACTCTGAGGGCATGGGATACATAAACATTTTGTGGGGAAGAGATAGTTGACTGATTTATTGAAGACTGAGACATGTTTGGCATCTGGGGATGGTGTAGGGAATCTTACGTTGAAAAGGAAGAAAACATTTTTTTCTTTTACTGAAATAGGGTTAGGGATGCAAGGCAAAGAGAAAAGGTGTGTTGAAAATTGCTCTGGCCGGGTGCAGTGGCACACGCCTATAATCCCAGCCACTTAGAAGGCTGAGGCAGAAGGATAGCAAGTTCAAAACCAGCCTCAGCAAAAGTGAGATGCTAAGCAACTCAGTGAGATCCTGTCTCTAAATATACAAAATAGGGCTGGGGATGTGGTTCAGTGGTCGAGTGCCCCTAAATTCAATCCCTGATACAATCAATCAATCAATAAAATAAAGAAAAAGAAAATTGCTCTGCCTGGGCCTATCCATAAACTGAAGCACTTTTACAAATTACGATTCTCTATATCAACAGTAATCTTGATATGCAGTTACATACAGTTTACACTGTTTAGGAATTAGAGCAATTTATGTACCTGATTGACATCTTATCTGAAATGAGTACATTATGCTGAGATCCTTTTCTAAAATGCAAAGTTTTCTTTTTCCCATTCCTTCAATCTCTCATTTTACCTTTTCAAACTGTTCTTGAGGGTCCACCATGGCCAGGCACTGCCCTGATGGCTGGACATGCAGGCACAAATGGGGATCTATTCTTCAAGAGGCTATGGTAAAGTGGAAATGACAAACATCCAATTATGACAGTATGTGTGCTGGGTGCTGTGACCAACGTATATCCTGGGAGGCTGTAGCAACATAAAGAAAAGGCTTTGTGCAAGGAAAGGGCAGGCTGTGTGTCTGTGGGGGCAGTGGTGCATGCAGGTGAGCAGACATACTCCAGGTGAGAGTCTTGAGAAGCCTGTAAACAGTTGGCCTTGAGTTTGGAAGTGAGTAAAAGAGCATTCTAGATAGGAGGAAATGGCCATTAGGAAGTCCCAGATTAACACAAGAACCCAGAGCATTCAACCAGTTTCCCATGTTCCCGTTTCTTATCTGTTGACTTGCTCAAAGTCCCAACCATACAGTAAGTGCTAGGTACCAAGAATATAAGATTGTATAAGACATGACTTTTGTAAGGGAATAGGCGAGAGGGTGTCTGGAAAAAAAGACAATAAAGCTATGAATGAGAAAGAATATGTGGGTACTTTAATAAAAGGATTATGCACTGCAGTGTGTTAGCTTTGGGAAGGAAGCAGGCAGGGTGTCATAGGATGAGTCTGTTAATGATTTTGCAAACCTCAAGGTTTGGGATTTAGTATTCCTAGCCCCCAAAATATCTTCAGTAAAAGAAGAACAAGGGTTGTAACAGGAGTTCTAGGAGGACAAGACAGATAGATTGCCTGATGAAAAAGGTCGATGACACAGTATTCTGTTACCTGGGATGGTTGCTTGTGGTTTATTTCAGGTATAATCTCTTAGATGCCTAGCTCCAAGTATAAAGGAAAATGTTTATTCTGTAATAATTAAAATAATTGCTATCTATTGGCTCTATTTGTGCTGGGTAACAAATTAGCCAAAATTTAGGAGCTCAAAATCAGTAAATATTTATGATCTCTACACGTCACGGGGATCAGGAAGATACACACAGCTTCAATTGAGAGTCTCTGGCCCAGCCTTCCACTTGAGGCTGTGGTCAAGCTGTTGTCCTGGTCTGTGGTCTCATCAGAAGGCTTGCAGGTTCTATTGGGTRGGGGGATCTGCTTTTGCACTCACCATTGGTTGTTGGTAGGCCCCTATTCCTCCCCGTGTTGGCCTCTCCCTGGGACTGCCTGGCAGCATGGCAGCTGCCCTCCCTCAGGGACTCCTACCCAGGAGAATACAAGGAGCATGTTTCAGGAGAGGCCATTCATCACTTCTGTTGGTTAGAGAGGAACTGGTTAGGCCGTCCCACACTCTAGGAGACTGATTAACAAGGCATGAAATCCAGATGGGCTCATGGAGAACCTTCTGAGAAGCTGTCTATCTGAGTGTGTACTTTTCAAAGGAAACAAGGTTTTATTATGTTTTTTAATTTTATTATTTTTTTACTATTATTATGTAAAAACAAGGTGTTTATGTTCCCTGATTTATATCTCGATAACAAGGTAGAGTAGTAGAATCTACATTTTAAGAGAATGGTCTCAGGAGTCCCTCAGCAAAAGGTCTAAGTCCCTGCAAGTTATGGAACCTCTCTGAGCCAATTTTGTCATCTATAAAATATGGATAATAATTTCTAATTAACCAAGTTTCACCTTAAGGAATAAATTAATTTATGTAAAGTTCTTGGTGCAGATTATTTATAAATTAAAGAATAAAATAAAAGTAACTATTATAATGATCATTCCTGAAGTTCATCCCCTTTACCAATTTTAATTTCTATATTTTGCTTAGTGAGATGAGCCTTATAAAAGAAACAWAATTTTAATTTTATCATTACTCTGTACAAGACAACCTTAATAACTAACAAATAAGACTCGGCATCCAGCGCCCTTCTATTCTGGCCTTCTCTCTCACTACTGACCTGGACATACCAATTGTGTCCTCGACCATGTTCAGAGAGTGTCCCCCATGCACAGCTTTGATTATAGTGACCTTAGCGCTCTCTTCCTTTTTCTTTTCTTTTTTTTTTTTCCTGCAGTGCAAGGGATCAAACCCTGGTCCAGGGCTTCCAGGTACTCAGCAAGCACTCCCCACTGAGTCACACCCCAGCCCTACTTCATTTGTCAACAACCTCCTTCCCATAAATGAAGGGCTTCCAATTGAAAACCCACTCATCCTTTAAGACATCCTAACTCTCACGTGCCCCTGGAGCCTCTCCAGGTATTTTCTATATTCCCCTCCTCCATTCCCTCCTAGGTACCCTTCATCTTCCTCCAACACCCCTCACCACTGGCTTGTGATGTCCACTCTGTCAACCTCAGTGCTCACGACTGACTTATTTTCTAGGACTCCTTGTTAAATGGTGACCTCCCAGTGGGAGGCTTGTATGTTGTTTACATTCACATAACTCACAGCTTTGTGATGAAAACATTTCTTGTATTGTGTCATTCTGCCAAAATAGGAACATAAAGATTGAGGTGCTTGCCCCTTCCTAATCTGAAATAAGGTTTTTGTTATTTAAATAACATTTCAGTAATCATTAACACTGACACATTGATTCTGGGCCCAGTTGTTTCATATATTGCTTATACTGATAAAATTGTGGTTAAGATTTCAGAATTGACCCTGAGGTCATGTGTTCTACTTTCCAGCCGCCTGTTGCTCTGACAGGCTACTGTTGAGAGCCAAGTTTAACTCTTGGGAAGGCATTTTGCAGCATGTTCTGCTTTCAGATTGTGAGGAAAATATTGGAGGATTTTGTCATTCTGCCTTTTGCATTTTTAAAAATGACTGGCCTATAATTCAGTTTTAGAATTTGGCATCAGTTAGTAAAATAATCTAGAGCTTCAGGTGAGTTCATGTGAAATTTTAGAAGTTGATGATACATTTCTAAAATTTAATTATACCACCAAAGTTTGGAAAAAAGTTCTTAAGTATGTTTAGTGAAATTTTTTTTATAACTAGAATTGTATTTTTAAAGATACTTCATTGATAGTATGAAATAACTCAAGTACTTTTTCTATTTCATTTTTTACCAGTTCACTATAAATGCATTAGGTATTTCAGAATTCTCCCAACTCACTTGAAATGTATTGAAAGCTCAGTATTCACAATTATCAGCTTAAATGTATCAATAAAATGATTTTAAATCCAAGTATTGAGCATTTATCCCAATCAAGAAACTAGGAAATAATTCTACATTAATAATTTTATAGATGAATGACTTCTCAGCAAATGTTAAACCTAAATAACAAATTTCCCATGGTGGTGAGGCTTTCACTAAAATATTTCTATATGTAAATGAAATATGAATGTCTTATTTTTTTTTACTCCCTCAAATATGTCTTCAGGCTCCAAAATACATACTATCTTTGCTATAGATTAGGTATAGTTTGAATATTCATGTGTTGGAAGCTTGGTTCCTTGTGTAGGGTATTGAGGGGTAGTAGAACCTTTAAGAGGTGGGGCCTAGTAGGGAGCRATATCATTGGGGACGTCACCCTTGGAGGAGATTAATGTAATTCTTATGAAATGATTACATTAATGTTAGACCCCATGGAAACAAATTATAAAGAGAGTGAGCCTGGCTCCTGATTCCCTCTGATTTCCTGTCTTACCATGTATCTCTTCTGTACATACCTATTTCCTTTTCGGTTTTTCCACCATGTTGGGATGTAGCCAATGGTTTCCTCACCAGGGGCTAAAGAGATGGGGTTGCCCAGTCATGGACTCATTCTTCTAAACTGTGAGGTAAATAACCCTCTTTTTTTTTTTCTAAAGTACCAAGCTGTGGGTATTTTGTTATTTTGTTATAATGACAGAAAAATGATATTGTCTTT